TGTGTGGAGACCAAACGGTAGGAAGTTGTATTGACACAGTTCCCATGGTGTGTTGATAGTGGTGAAAGGCCGGCAGGTTGGTGCGAGTGGAATCTGGAGGTATGCATCGGCCAAGTCAATCTTCTAGAAGCATGTGCTACCGTGCAATGCTTTCATGAAATGCTCCGGTTCCATGGTGATAGCTGCACACTTTCGCAACCGCGGGTTGAGTGTTAAGCGGTAGTCGCCACAAATGCGCGGTGTTTTGCCGTCACTTTTGATTGCGATCACGATTGGCGTTGCCCACGTACTGAATGTGACTCGTGTGATTATGCCATTGCGCTCCATTTTCTCAAGGGACTGCAGTACAACATCACGTTGGCCGTAGGGAATTGCACGTCGCTTCAGGAAAATGGGTTCACCATCAACTTCCAGTTTGGCCGGCTGTACGTTCATACCTCCCGTATTATTGGAACATTTCACGACCAGGTGCTGTAAATGGGTGTGCATATTGGACGTAGAGTTTGTATGGAGCGACACTCAATGGTTCAATTCACGAATGGCGGTTAGGCCAAGTATGGGTGGACTGTTTTTAGCAATTAGGAAGCGGATGGGAACAAGGCGATGTTCTTTGGAATGTACCGTCAATGAAACCTCATCAATCAATGGCAATTTGTGTCCAGTCACACCAAGGATTCGCACGAATGTCGGATGGATTTCGGCTTGGGGGCAGATTGATCGAAGCACAGCAATAGAAATGATAGATTCTATGCTTCCCGTATCAACAATGAATTTGTGCCTTGTGCCGGACTGAAATGTTACATCTGTGTATAGGAATTGGGTGCGTTGGCTTTCGGATCGTAGAGAGAGCACCAGATTTGTGTCATTCGCAGCAGTCGGTTGTGCAAGGTTGCAACGGGGCTGTTTGCACACTCTCCGAATGTGGCCAGTTTTCCCGCATGCATGATACTTGGCATTTCGGAAGCGGCAATTGGAGCGCAGATGGTAAGCTCCACATGACAAGCAGGGATTGATACGTTTCTCGTTGCTTGCAGAGGCGTGTTGCGGCTTCGGTACACTCGTGGGCAATGCAGGTCGGTTCNCGTTGGAATAATGTGACTGATTCGCTGGAAGTGGCTTTCATCAGGTCGTCGCGTTGCTCACAGATCTTACGGGCATCGGCAAAAGTCAAATCTTTCTTCCCCAGCAACTTTCGTTAAAGAGTCAGATTACTGATGCCTACCACCAAGCGGTCACACATTTGTTCTTCCAGGCGATCCCCATAGTTGCAGCGTGATGCTTGTTTCTTCAGCTGCAGGATGAATTCACAGCAGGAAACATGATCGGCACGAATGATGGAGTTGAATTTGACCCTTTCATTTGCTTGGAATTCAGTGGGCAGTAGGTGGTTGAGCAGTAGCGATTTCAAAGATTCGTATGGTAGTTTGGCTGGAGCCTCAGGGAACGCCAAGTTTCTCAACAGGGAGTAGAGGTCACGGCCCTCAGCAGCAGGAAATAGGGCTGACTGATTCTGTGTACCACCTTTGCGCATGCTGAACCACAGCTCGAACCGTTCGACCCATTCCTCGATCTCGGATGGACTTGCTTGCACCTTCAGTTGCTCAATCGTTGGGAGCTCCACCACGCGACGCTAATTTGTAATAGTTGTAGTAGTAGTACTAATACACACGGAATTCGGAACACCAACCACGCTATATGAATTACAGGACCCGAATCGATAATCAGCTATCACGGACTGGATCGCAGAAGCACTGGGCGGATTTGCAATGTCCCACGAGAACGAGACGCGAGGAAAAGGCCAGAGGATAGACAGTAAGTAGTTCGTTTATTGGAAGAAATAAAGGTGATTAAATAATATGTACAAAAGAAGATTATTGGCTACCTGGGCTTCCACCAATTGGATTGCAGCACTGCTTGCATAATCTTGCTCCTGTTTGCATTGTCTTCGATTGGCTGGCACCATCCGCAAATGACGTGTATTTAGAAGCTATGCACGTGCTATTGACGTCAGCATTCAAACTTGGTCGATAGCCAATGTCCTGAAACTGTAACGCGCTGCTCCAGGGTAGGCGCCATTGTGTAGGCCTGAATCACCACAGAAATGCGCAGAGCCATTAGGTATAGTATGTGTCTCTCGCCTTCCAGGGTCGGGATCCGAAAGACTCCAAAACTGGTTGGTTGGAGACATTGAAGGACACGCCAGCGAACCGGTAGCAGTGGTGTTCTTGTTGTCGTTTATTATCAAGTCAGAATGCCTGAAACGGTATGTATGCAGAGTTTGAACATAGTGGCTCACCTTCTTCTCCCTCCCTCAAAATAAATGCAATCCCTGTCCACCCTAGATTTTACCACTAACCTTTTATGCATTGCGAGTTTGGCAACGAGCAGTGAAGTTTGCTTCACTGTATTTCGCTGTACGATGATGATGATGTGGAAGCGCTTTCGGGCACTAATACAATCAAAGGTGCGCGTCTCAATTAGTGTCAAACCAGTAGTTCGCTGCGTGAACGTTGCTCCGCACTGAATGCACGTTGATTTCATCATGTTTATTTCCTGTTCCTCTCTATAGTTTGATCACATTCGAATGCCTCCCAAAATTCATGACCAAACTCTTGAATCAATCCCTTCTCAGGCTTACTTGTGCTCTCAACAGAACTTATATGCGGCTAATTCGGTTCGAATGCTCTGTTAATCTGCGCAATGCACATCCGAAATCCGAAGATCAATGTGCCGAACCTGAATGAATGTTGTCAATAACGATCAAATGAAATTTCGTTTGATTCCTCTGCGTCTAAATTTGCATCCGTGTGAGCCTATGCGCCCATTCATTCTAGTGAAAACGTATGCATTCAAAGGGTATTCAGTTGATCTAAGTGTATAGTATAGAAACGATTCTACAAATTTTCATTAGAATAAGAAGCACCATGATCGCAGGATGTGTTGAATTCATCTATTTTGTGATAATTTCATCAGGTGTGTACATACATTCAGATCACGTTTGGTTAAAAGAGTGACAGGTTTGGGGACAGGCGAACACACATGGGAAAGAGAAATCGATCAATACGAAGGCCAAAGGCCACTAATATGAACCGGATTGGGCATAGGGGCAGAGAATGTAATCACTGCAGAGTGGGGGGGGGGAGGAGAAAGACATTGACACTTACCATGGCGGCCCGAGGTTAGCCACGAATTCGGTCTGATCGAACAGCTACTGTGGAGCAACCCGTTGCCCGTGAATTGCGTCAGTTGCATAAGGATGACCATATTAGTAGTGCCATACTTGCTCAATTCAACCCCCGAGGCTCTCGGCTACGTCGTACGTACAGGCTCCCCAAAGTTCAAAAGAATGGTATTACAGTACCCATACTATGATTGGGGCACCCCATTAAA